GGAAAGGGCAGAGCCCATCTCAAATGACCAGCCTCCACCCACAGCATATCTTCTGCTTTCTTCCATCCAGAAATAGGTCTCCAGGCAGTGGGCAGAGTCTCTGGGCCAGGTCATGCTCCCTGCTGTTAAGAAACAGGTCTCCAGATAGGGGATGGAATCTCTCAGCCAGCTCATTCCCCACCTACTCTCCTATTTAAGCAGGGGATGGAGTTTTTTTGCCAGGTCGCACCCCATCTTCTCCTTCAGGTGGGGGTGAAGTCTCTTGGCCTGGCCCTGCCCTGCCCTGCCCTGCCTCAGGTGAGGGTAGAGTCTCTTGACCAAACCAAGCACCACCTCGTCCTGATGTGGTCTTGATGTGGCAGGGGGAGAATCTCTTCCAGGCCCCATCCCTTCCTGCTCAGAAGTAGGTTTCTAGATAGGGGGTGGATTTTCTCCTGGCATGGCTGGGCTCCTCCCCCTCCTCATGCCCTTGCACTAGGCTGCTTGTGGGCCGCTGTCCCATGTGAAAGGTCTTGCCACGTGTGTCTGGCTTCTTCCTGCCTGGAGGCTTCTTCTTCCGCTCCTGCTTCTTGGCCTCCTGCTCCAGTTGGCGCTGCTCCTTCAGCCACTCCCTCTCCAGGCAACGCTGCTCCCTGGGGGGTGGGTCCACCACGATCTCAGGTATGAGGAAGGGAGATGCAGTCTGCCTGCCCTTCCCAGGGCACCGCACCTCCTCCAGCTGCTGCTCATCAAAGATGGCCTTGGCATTGGGCAGGCGCTGCCCCAGGCGCTGGCCAAAGTTAGGCCAGTCCTTGCGCAACTTCTTCAGCTTCACCTGACACTGACGCTCCAGGTCCCGGTGTGAGACAGCCATGTCATGGACCTACAGGCAGGGCAGGAGAGGACCCAGAATTGGAGAGGGGGGTTACTGCAGGCTTGGGTGCACCCAGAAAGTGACACCACAACTGGCTGTGTGCAAGGAGAAGAAAGAGTAGAGAGCCTGTCCAGCTCAGCCCAGCCCCACCCTCCCCAGCAAAGGGTGCTCCTTCTCTGGGTTAGAGGCAGCGGACAATATCGAATCCAGGAACAAGTCGGGAGTGGGTGAGGGATGGCTCCCCCATTTTGGCTGTGCCTGCCAGAGCTTTGCATAAGCAGTAAGCTCAGAGCTGCTAGGGAGCAGCCTGGCTGTTCCATACCCTGGCCACCATGGCCTGTCTCTCCCTGGGTGGCTGGATCTGGCCTCCCCTTTCCACCCTGCCTCACCTCTTCCATAAATGCATCCTCCTGCAGCTGCTCTGGTGGGATGTTGCGCAGCTTCTCCAGGGTCTCCACCACCCCCACACAGTCCCGCAGCTTCTCACCCGAGCCCAGCGCCAGGCGCACCAGCACCAGCCCCACCCGGAACAACACCTTCACCCCTGCAAGGAGACAGATGCTGTCAGGGCCTGCCTCAGCAGTGCGAGGAACCAGGAGGGAGGGCAGGATGGAGCTCCAGCCAGGGAGACTCCTGGGTGCCTCGAAGCAGCCAAGAAGGTTTAGGACAGCCTTGACATAGACAGATATGATCTCATGGCAGCCGAGAGGGAAACTGTGAGGAAAGCCATGAAGCAGGCATTGGCCCTCCTTGGGGAACAATGACACTGCCAGAACACCATGATCCTTCCCCCCTGGCCAAGGCAGTCAACAAGCCATGAATGCCTCAGTACCCCTGGGCATACCCGCGCCCCATTGTCTGATAACCCTCACTGAGCTCTGGCTGCAGCTGCCTGGCTAGGAGCGCCCTGGGCAGGGACAGCCCTACCTACCCTCACTGAAGAAGGCATCCCAGATCCGCAGCACAGTGGGGAAGGGAAGGGTGCGGCAGAAGAGGCACAGGAACCACTCAGTGACAAAAAGCATTGGCCCCACGTTGTGTTTCTGCAGATGCTTGTAGGCCCTGTGGCACACACGCCGCAACAGCGCCATGAAGACCTCACCATCCAGCAGCACTGCCTCCTACAGGGTGAGATGCAGCCTGTCAGACCCACTGTCCTTCTGCAGGGCACCACTCCTGCCCTCTCCATCCCAGCACCAGCTCACCTGGGGCTCAGCCCAACAGCCCTGCCTGCCCACAGGGTTCCTCACCCCAGATCACAGGACCCCCTGCTGGGGAGGGCAGAGCTGAAAAACACAGGCTCCGCCTCCTCCCTGATGTCACAGTGGCTTTGCTGGGGAGGGCAGGACTAGGTCCTACTGGCTTCACCCCTCCTCTGATTCCATTCTGCTGCATCCCTTAAAGGGCCCCATCTGCCCCCCTTCCCTCCTGCCATGTTCCTGCTGTGTGTCTCACCATTTCAGGGCTGTAGTAGCCAGGCAGGTAGCGTTCACTGATCTGTACCAGGCACCAGAACGCTTGCTGAGAAAGAGAGTGGCATTAGCAAGGGGGGGGTGTCCCCTGAGCACATGGGGAGGAGATGCCATGTGCA